CCACTATCCTGCCAGATGTGGGGTGCGGGAAGTGTCGAACTGGATATTTTACCAACACTGGATATCAACAACAGTGCAAGAAACCAAGCCAGAAGCTGAGGACAGCTTCACTCCTAAGGGGAAGGCAGTGTGGCGTCGGATCAGGGCGCAGACATGTTGGACCACTTGGCCTCAGCCAATCCCGTGTCTCTCTGCGATCGAATGGCATGCGGGAAAGGAAGGCAGCCAACCAGAGAAGGACATGGATTAGATGCAGTATATAATGAGCGGCGTGGCCAGCGTGGTGGACTCGGATGGAAGGCGCCTGACGCGTGGCCCTGGCTTCTGATTGGTCAATAAAGCCTGTTCTGTTGTACCGGTCTTTTTCCTACTAGGGCTCGGGTATTCTACAATGGCGTCGGATCTGGGCGCAGACATATTGGACCACCTGGCCGCAGCCAATCCTGCGCCCCTCTGCGTTCCAATGGCATGCGAGGAAGGAAGGCAGCCAACCAGAGAAGGACATGGATGAGATGCAGTATATAATGAGCGGCGTGGCCAGCGTGGTGGACTCGGATGGAAGGCGCCTGACGTGTGGCTCTGGCTTCTGATTGGTCAATAATACCTGTTCTGTTGTGCCAGTCTTCTTCCTATTAGGGTTCGGGTATTCTACTATGGCTCTCTATATACATGTACTTGGTTAGGGTCTAAAACTCAAACAAGTGAAATAAATATGATTTGCGAAATCAACCAGTAAGATACTCTTGCTTGTACACCTGCCAATATAAAATAACATTTCGTGAGTTGCACACTTTAAAGCAACTTGAAAATTTTTCCTGGCCATAAGACGTTATTTTTTTATCAAAGCCAACTGTTAGGGAACCTTAGAAAAGTATTCTATTTTTCTGGATATACTCGTTTCTTAAACACTAAACTTGAGACTTCATAAACTGTAAAATAATTTACTTTATTGCAATTTAAGTATTAACGAGGAATAAGGAGTTTATTTCAAATAAATGTTTTTTTTAAATTTTTATATTGTACGGAGTCTTACTTTTTCATTGAAAAGCGTAGAGAAGGTAACGTGATTACGTTAGAGGATTGCTACAGCTGATTTCCTTAAAGTTGAATAATACGGACTAGATGATTTAAATTAGGAATGAAATGGTTTTTGTAACAGACATTCCCGATTCATTGTTTTTGAATAATTTTTCAGGAATCTTACAATGGTCGCGCATGAATCGCATGTGATTTTTTCAATATTTTCTAAACTCTGTTTAAACTTGGATCGGGTTCCTCTTGTGCCTTGATTACCATAATCACGACTCTCTTTGATCACCACGAATACATCATTCCATGTACCTCCTCGGTGACTTTTACCTTTTGGCGTGGAATATTCATAAAACATTAACCCACTTAGGCCAGTAATTAAAACGCTGACAATATTTTGTTGACTGTGGACTTGCCATATCGGAAAATCCTGTAGAACATTATGGTTGGCTGTATGAAGACACACACCTGAAGAGAAATAAGCAGCATAATAGCATAAGATTCATAGCACTGACCAAAACGTGAATTCTAAAGATCTTAATAAATAGAAAGAACAATGACCTGGACTTGGCATCAAAGCAGAAATCTGTGATACCCGAATCCATAAAATTAATCCTTGAATCAGTCACTAAAAACGATTGATTACAATGCCCTCGTGGACACCTGACAATACAACAAATTTACTATGGATAAAGGATATAATAAGCATTTTCATTTTTGAATAGTCTTTTACGTAAAATGCTATTACATATTATGAACAACAGTAAACTCGATTTCTCAGCTTTTAATCATGCTCCTGCAATCATTCACGATCGCTAATGTTTTACCCACTAGCGACCGTAAAAATGCAAATAAATTTTTTTTTGGAAATAAAAATTAATTGTCTGCTAGGAATTGTTACTTGCGTGAAGACATAAGAAGCCGCGTGACATGCGGCTGCTGTTGTTGAAGGTCTTTCAAGCGTACTCCTACTAGCCCATTGGGTGATCCATGATCACTTAACTTCCCGCGTCAATATTGGGAGTGCGGGCTTGGAGGTTGTTTCTGCTTTGCTTTTTGTTTGGCGTAATGACAACTATAAATGTCTTATAATTTTGTGCTTCCTTATTTTGATTTACTGAAAAGTTTTTACTGTTGATTACTTTATCTCTTCACGTTGTCCTAGGATGGGAGCCAAACAGGCCAAGTTAAAGTCAGAGGTCCTTGACGAGTTGACGCGTTCGACTCCGTTTAACGAAGAAGAGATCCATAGGTGGTATCATGGGTTTGTAAAGGTACTGCTCTGTTTAAATTTGTATATTTATCAATGTTATCTCTGTTTATCTCTTTACACTGAACACAGCCTTGTTTCGACGCTTTCTGGCGGTTAGTTGCAGTTTACGTTTCTAGTGTTAACACTAACGAGTAGCCAATTTAATGTCTAATCGCTTATTTTATCCGCTAGCATGTTTGTTTAACCCATACGCGTGCCAAAGCATATAAAAATGACGAAGTTGTCACATGACTTCTCTCGTTTTGGCAACGTTTGTGCACTTTGCCTTTAGTCTAACAGGTCATTCTTGCTGCACTCATCGTCAGTAACTTTAGTACGTATATATTTGCTCGTTTCTAGGACTGTCCTAGCGGTCAGTTGACAGTGGACGACTTTCAGCGGATCTACAGTGCCCTCTTCAGTAATCCCAATGCGCTTGCCTCCAACGGTGATTGTTATGGAGACCCGGGTCCATTTGCCGGTCTTGTTTTTCGTGCGTTTGATCAAAACGGCGACGGCGTGGTCGAGTTCCGAGATATTATTACAACTTTAAACATCATCGGAACTGGCAATGATGAAGAACAGAGACTGCGCTGGGCCTTCCACGTTTATGACCTCGACGGGGACGGATATATTAGTCGGGGTGAAATGTTGCATGTTGTAAAGGCAAGTCTTTCTTGCTAGTTTATTGGTAACCCACTTTGACTTTGCATTTTTCCATCGGTCACGCCTTTTTCATTAAACCTCTACTCTCCTGTTTGTCTAGTCCTCTATTTTTTAAACGCCTTACGAGCCATTTCCGCATTGCGTAACTAAACCGGCTTACCATTTGTCGGCATTTTGTGTGTTGCTTTTGCTGCTAGCACCATTGTTTTCTATCTCTGCGCACATGTGCAATGGTGTTTAAGTTTCATGGCGTCAAGTGTGTTTCATCTTCGAAACTTCGTAACTGCACGTTGTTACCATCTGGTCAAGTGTTTACTAGCAGTCCTTGATCCAGTTGACACTTTACACATTTTTACTTGGCGAGAGAAAAGTTTATTTGGACAAAATATGGAGATGAAATCTTCCAACTAAATAAGTCAATTTCTATCGTATGTGGGTTTTTTCGCATTTGTCCATTGGTTATGATCTACTATGACGCAATTGTCATTTTTAGCCCAGTGTATGTGTACATTTCTTTGATAAAGCTTTTAACATTCACCATTTGTGGCCTCATTTCTTTTCATGTTGATTTTTCGCTCAATCCAATTCTCTCACCCGTTGTCGAGAACATAGCGAATACCACGCTTTCAAGAATTGATTTCCGAAAGTGATATGATTGGTTTTTTTCGTTTGGGCGAGAAAACTGTATTAGCTTTTTGGAGATTTTAACTCTCAAATTTGCTCATAAGTGAAAAGTCAAATATGTGTTTTGTTCCCCGCTTTGGGGCGTACCACTTTTAGCACCGAGAGACCCCTGTGGTTTCCTGGTTCTATTTATGATTTTTTTTCCTCATTTTAAACTCCTTTTTTTGCACACACACTGAAGAAAGGTTGTGTGTGTGTGTTCGCCACATTATTCGCCTTCGGCATTCAAATATATGCAAATTTCAGTGAGTACTGAATTTTCGCAATGAATCAGTTTCTTTAATTACTCGCGTAGTGTGACCTATTCCCCATCTTCTGGAGGTAACTTCGCTATGCCGCCCCACCGTTGACCCCTGCCTCTTGACACCTGCGGTTGACCTTGAGTTGACCCCTGGGGGCTGTCTCCATAGATGCGGATTTTGGCCGGACTGTCAGAATCCTAATGCGCTTTATTTGAAATAATGCACGAATTTTAGCTCGTGGCGAAAGCTAAGCTGTGGAACGGCTGACCCTAACCGTGACTGATAAGAGGGTTTGTGGGCCATGAGTGACGAGGCATTTGTACGCCTGCGCTCCTGGCATGTCTGATTTCTGCAACTGAACAACCAGTCTCGGTGCATTTTCGAAGGAGCTGAAATCGTCTCGTCACTCAGCTCTGGTGACGTCTAATTTTGAGAGAAAATGAGTTTTGCCTACTGTCGGTGTAGCATGTGGCGGGGATACTTTTAAAACCACTTAAATCTCAGTGCCCATGTGCAGTCTCTGGTGTTTTGGCAGCATAAAATTTGCAGAATTTGCTCTCCTACACAACTAACGGCCTGCTTTTGGTGTTTGCAAAGTGTTACTTTTGCGCGTAACCTCGTCCTCAAATTGGTATAAATTGTTTCGCAATTTTAATGTGTTTATCTTTCTTGCTGAAATTTACAAGAAGCGGTGTAAGAGATTGAATGGGTGTAGAGATGACACGCAAGTTTTTATTAAGGATCCATGTTCTGAGTCCGGGATAACACGCAAGTCCTTCAAATCCTGTACGACCAAAGGGACGTCTTGATCGTTAAGCATGTCTTTGGAAACCCTGGAGCGGACTAACAGCGATCGCGCCTGAGTGAACCCTGTTTACTGACCTGACGGTGACAATGACTCATCCCCTTTTCATTGGCTACTGTTATTAGGCGCCTGTCATTCGTTCACTCATCCAGACACTAAGACACACACTTGGCTGGCGTGACGCTAATAAGCGGTCGTGTCCTCTGTCGCCTCTCTTCCCTCCATTCTCGGGTTGTTACAGGCTGTTAACTAGAGGGTTGCGAGGTAGTGCTAGCCCACAAGCTACTACAGGCCCCTGTGAGTTATCTGGGAAGGGGTTGTACTCCAAAATGCACTTCGATCAGACTTCACGGGATGTCACCAGCACAGATCCGTTGTTTCCGTGATCCACTTGGGCGAAATCTACGACACCAAAGGCACTCCTGAAAGTATGGCGGCAGGTGACGTTTGTGAAGGTGACAACGAACGGCATAACGACAGAATCAATGGTAGAAGATCCTGGGAAGACAGTATTTGAATTTCAAAGTCAGAGGCAGAAATATGCGGACACACTGATGTTCCACAGATCACGTAAATGGTTGAGAGTGTTCACGACGAACACTGTGGCAGACAATTTGGGAAGAGGATACGCAGGTTCTTTCCCACCCACAGATCAAACAAGTAGAGAGGTCGTTGATCTCACTGTAAGAACGTCATCTGGCATTGTAAGCAGTAGCTGTCTGCTAAAGCACTGTTTACCTCGTTCGGGATAACACACCAAAATCGATTACGTCAAACCAACGATGGCAGTTCTTCTTCAAGACCCTAATTTCTACTGACCTATTATTCGAAAATTGTAGCACACGGGTACACAGCAGCTAAACAAGACACGAGGTTAAGGTCGCTTTAACGATTTCCAGGAAAGTATACAAAGTCATTGCATTTCTAAGGCCACTGCCGATCGCTGGAGATGGATGTTTGGGTTGGTGTTGAGGCATCAGGAGTGGAGTGGATCTGCAACTCACAGTCCGTTCACTCAATGCAGGTGCCCGTGGAGTTTAACCTTGGCCAGAGACGACGGAACTGTGTGTTTGAAGCTCCCAGGCGTGCATAGGGGAGAATACCCGTGTGTCCGCATGGATGAATTACCGAGGCGTTGGGATACGTGTTTTGCAGAGATGAATCACTGGAGTGGAATGGTTCGACTCCCTCTTCAACGCCAACTCAGCCCCAACGCTTTGTTGGCATATCATCCACCCATGTCTGTGATTCGCTGCTTTTCTTGCTCATAGTGTAGAATACCCGAGCCCTAGTATGATGGAGGCAGGCATAACAGAGCAGGTTTTGTTGGCCAATCAAAAGCCGGAACCGTACGTTAGGCGCCATCCATACGTGTTCGCCTTCCATTATATGGTGCTTCTCGTCCGTCCTTGCCTCTGATTGGCTCCTGATCTTCCTCATAGGAGATTAGCTGAGATTTCGACCTAATCACATTGACATGTCTGTGGGAGGCGGTGAAATTAACAGTTGTGTAGCAGGCTGTGGCAGAATTCGCTAGAGTTGGGATTGTGCGGTAAGAGTATTAACCCGCGGCTATTTCCGTCGTTTCAATGTTCACTCTGATTCATCTACTGGCACGTTCGTCTAAGCCAGCTTTTAATCTTGCTTAGTCACTCAAACGCCCACTTCCACTTGACAAAATGTGCTTTTGTAGCAACCGGTGACAAATTGCTGCGCCTGTGTTTTATTTATTAGTGTGAATTTGGTTGCCTCGAAGTCGAACGAACCTTGACATTTTGCGTAATACCATTACCCTCATCACTCCTCTAGGCCATCTACAAGATGATCGGACCCACGGTGATATCGCGGGTGATGCCGGCTGACGAGTCCACGCCAGAGCAACGCACCCACCGTCTGTTTGCCCTGATGGACAGAGACGGCGACGACCGGATATCCCTCGACGACTTCATGGAAGGCGTCTACGCGGATCCGGAGGTCCTGGCGTTTCTGCAAGCACCGACGACTACCTCGGCCTCCTGCGCCTCCGCGTCCGACGTCCAGACATGCCAACACCATCACCCCCATAGCGCTGTCGATAATGGCCAGGTGTCTACCAGGTGATGATGTGCTGTCTTGATCGACATGAATTTAGGTGAGCGTGTGGTGTGTTTTGAATGAGGGCTGGACGCACACCGATTGGTCAGTTTGTCGTCCCACCCTTGGTAGTAATCCTCGTGTTGAGTGTCCAAGGAGGCTGCCGATATTCGTGCTTAGTGTTCTGCTCCATTTCCGCATTGCTCTGACTAAGCAAGTCATCATTTGTATCGGCTGTGAGGATGTGCAAACGTTTTTGAGTGCTACATAATGTTGATGAGACTATTCATGCCACACGACGCTTGACCTTGCGTTGGCCAATAGAATGAGACCCTGTTTGGACCAATCCTGTGCATTCCAGTTAAGACGATTGTTAGCTGGCTCCCTAGGGCCTACCCTTTCCGTAACCAGAGTGCATTACTTGTGGAGTTCTCCTGTTCTGCTGGGCTATCTTATCGTCTCGCTAAAATTGACCCTGTGGAGGAAATCTATTCGGCCTTGAGGCGACCAATTGGATGAGACCCCGTTTTTACCAATCCTGTGCATTCCACGCTTATCGATTTTGATGAAAGTGATGATCACATCTGTTGTGCGTTGTATTTAATCAATATTGACAACATTAAAATCGAAGCAATACTGATTTTAAATGAAGGGAAACCACTATTCAGCAAATCTCTAGGCTGAATAGTCTTCTTGTCGATTCCCTGTGAAAGCGAATCCGGGCACAAGGTTTTGCAGGAAAGGCGTCTCCTTTTGTCCGGCGATAGGTCGTGGTACGCGGGTTTTTTGCAAGAAAAAACAGGCGAGAACGCGAGTGTTTATCTCAGTAGTTGGCAAGTCTCTGTACGCTCGAAGGGGCGTTGCGCAAGTTGAAATACCACGCAAACCTATTATGGGACGACTAGCTGATTTACCTGTTGTTTTAATTCTGATTCCTACTGAGCGCCACTTGGGATTCCCCCATGATGAATGCTGTTTGAATTTGTCTACGTATAGGTTGTGCAAATTTGCTGTTTTATGTTGTCATAAAGTTTTACTGTGTAAGATAGCGTTCTGCATATTAACCCGAAAGTGGGCGTCAAGTGTGTTATTGTGGGCCCCAGCGTGTGGTGTGGGGAACCATGTCGGGGCCACGGAATTAACCCTGGTCCGATTACGCTTCCCTGATGTCCGCGATGAAGAAAAAGACCGGAGAGGACGTGGACACAACCGTTTACTTCAGACCTCAACCACGTTGGTGTCGTAGGTGGCGTTTGGGCGTGTGTATTTATACCTTGAATGTGTGAGTCATAACTGAGCTAACATCGAGACCTAGGCGTGGGGATAATCCAAGATAAATATCCCTGTGAATGAGGGGGGAGTTGAGGATTCGCGCGGCTGGCAACATACCGCGAAAGGAGGAACCCTGTGTTGGAGGTGAAGCGACCGGATTAGCGAATGTGAACGCGATTCACAACAGTGTCTTGAACTTTTAATGGACTAATTCCAAGTTTTTGCGACACCGTTAAACCCACCAAGAAGGTTCACCGAGTTGTCCGAAATCTAGGGACTAATCCGTTGCCAGATTGGTCGGTTCCCCTCCTCATCACCTCATTGGTTCAATTTGGAGGTCGGTTAAGGCGCCACCACTTGTTAACGCCGAACTCGTTAGCTCTGCTTGAACCGCCAGGTACATTCAGCGCGCGCTCCTGAAGGTCGTTTTGTGAGTGGACACCTTTTTTCGCTGAATTAGGCACATAGTAAAACTCTGTCGTAAAACGGCACTTACGTGGCTAAATACCTCTTCGTTGCGCCGCAGCCATTATGGCACGAGTTTATCACAAGCTCTTGTGGCTGCCAGAAGATTAAACCAATCAGCGCCGCGCGAAGTCGTTTGATCGCACTAACTACCACCCCCCTCCCCGCCTCTAATACCACCCCACTAGGGCTTAAACACATCGAAAACAGTTTGCGAGCAGTTGGGGGGTGGGGGTGTTCTCGTGAAAACCAGACATTTGTTTTTTCGGTTTGACATGCGCTGGGAACAAGGGGTACTTGTGCGACTCGTGCTCACTTCTGATTGGGTGAGTTCGAACCAATCACAGTGGCGCTGCCCTCAGGGGCGGTCTTATCTAGTTCGCCTTAAAGACACGTCGACGTAAAATTAACCGCCTTTAACCCCACCCCCGGTCGTGTTTCTCTCCCACAGAATCTCATTCCTACAGACGAGGCCTTGCTTTCGCCCCCTGCCAATCGTGTCTTTGCTTAAACTCGTCTGATCCTCTGTTTCGGTGCTTGCGTTCCCCGCCTTGGTTGCCAACGCCTTTTGTAATATCATTCCAGGTTCTTTTTCTTATGGTGGACATTTTTCATGACTTCGTGTTCCTTCAAAGCTCTCTGTATCTACGTATTTAATACTTTCTAAATGACCTTGATGTGGTAATCAACTTTTTTTTGATTATTCAGAGAACTTGTCAAGTTTGGGCTTTTGGGAGTGCGGGTTTAACGATGCGCCATAGAATGCACTGTTCACCACCAATTCAAGTAAATTAATTGGCCGTTTTGTGAATAGTACCAAATTATGTCAAGTGGATGTCCCGTTCTCACCACCAACCACTGTCCTCTTTAGTTGAATAAGTATTTGTACTTGTAGATATTTAGTAGCACGTATATTTCGAGCTGCCGACAGTGAAATAATGCCAGTGGACGGGATTCTAGAAACTCAAGTAAGCCGTGCGTAGTTTGGGATTTGTCGATAAAATTGCGGTTCCGTTTCGTTGAGTTCGCACTGCCTGGAGCTCGGTTCGAAATTTATTAAGGAAATGAAAATTCCAAATGCTGTGACTATTTTGAGGAAATGTAAATGTTTATTACAAGTATGATTTCAGTTCACTTATTAATTGGATTCGCACGTGCGAATCCTGCACCGTTTCTGTGTGTGTGAAATTTTAAAATATCATCGATATCAGGAACCTTGAAATGAACCAATCAAAAAACAGACTTACTTTGGACGTGACTACTTAACTAAAACTGAGCTTTGTGGAGGTTGGTTTAAAATGTATCAGTTAAGTGAATATTCCAGGTGCGGACATATTTATTGCGAGTTGTTGGGAATTCAAGTCACTTACCACTTCAGTACACTTTTTCCGGTCGACCGTGTGACACGCACACCGTGAAATTTAAAAATCAGCAAACTTTAAAATGTACCAATCAGAAAACAGGCGTGGGTTGAGGTTTACCACAAACTCCAGTATAGGCGACCTTGTAATTAAAACCAATCATTTTGGGAATGTAGCTTGACCTTGAAGTGGGCCGACCCTGGCAGTGGTATTTTTAATCAATCTCGGTAGCCTTGAATCGATTTGAAACATCAGGGAAACCGCCTGTTGAAGAGGGCGTTCATCTGGACACACTTGAGCGCGATTGCTAGGTGATCTTGAGCAGCTGACACACCTCAACTCGTCTGTCAGCCCGCCAACTTGCTGGTGCCCTCTTTCGTGGATGTTTCTCTTCCCAGAAAACACAAATCAACCAGCGTAGCAACACGGTGGTGCGCATGTGGTCTACCTGCCCATCTAGCGGTAATTTGGCCCGACCCCACAGTGACCTCTTGTACGACCGACTAATGACGCGGCCTGTGCACGTCGTAAATTTGCATTTTCGCGTGAAAAACCGGCCGACATTTGAGATTCGCCCACCGAAGGTAGCTTAAATTTTACCATGACAAAATCGCGTCAATTTCAACAGGCGCAAAGTGATTACCTTACTCATGAAAACCCTCAGTTTTGTTGGAATCTGAAGGACTTCTGCTTTCGAAAAATTAGTCATTTTGCAGAAGCTATGGATGTGGGAAGCTGATTGCGAAACATCGACAAATTCCGCATCATTGAAACAACCCCTAACTCGATTTGGTGACACTCTTGGGTCGCCTCCTACTTCTCATTTTGTTTCACCTGCGCAAATCATTTCTGACGATCATCTTCAAAGGCTTCATCAATGTCTGGCACTAAGAGATCAACAACACTGGCCAAACTTCGTGAAAGCCTTAAACCGCGGGTTCGTCTGCACATTTCCGTCTGAAGTCGACTTGTCGCTGAAATTGGGTTTCTGTGAAAATACTGGCGGTTTGGACATTCGACCACAACGACTGTCGCACAGATTTCCCTCAAATCGATTGGCTACTCTCCGGGGTGAATGCCACTTCGTCAGTCGACACAGCTCTGCGTGAACTGGACAAGCACGTCATCGCCACCTGATTCACGAGAAGGAAGGATCTGTCACAAGCAATGCCTACGACGACTTAGCTATAACGCCGTGAGACGTGGTTCCATCAGGACAGAGAACTCCTCCCCCCACTACTGTACCCGGTTGGCTTGAAGAACACGTCCAAATCAATCATATTGGGTGTCGTGGCTCTATAGAATATCATCCAAGTTTGCACCACCGAAGCCTTCTTCTTCTTGGATGTGTTCAATAACTCGGTTTGAGCTTAATAACTGAGAACTAGTATGCACCTTGTCGCGGGGCGTGTGGATTCTTGAACACAAATCAACTGCACTATTTGTCTCGTTGTTTCCGCATTATCCTGTGTTTTACCATACTGATTTTACTAGAGCATCATTCAAAATTCAACTAGCAGTAGACGTCCATATTTGTTGCATACATTTATTCTTTAATGCTTGTTTTTTACTTTTCTTATTGTCGCGATATTTAATGTTTATGATAACCAGCATTAGACACCTAGTGTTTCGGAGAGGGAGTAAATTTGTTGGTGACTAAGCTGCTGTTTTTTTACATAAACAAAAACTTGTTTGTTGACAGTGTGGAATCTGACTATCAATTAAGTTTATCATTCGGACAAATAATTGCACGGTTGTCTGTGTAATTTAAAATGTTGTACGCGCGCACACATTTCGGACACGATGAGGCTAAAAATATGCAAGAAAAATTCTCAAAAGGAGCATCAAGAAACCACTGTGGAATAGTTTTATGCCGATGGCTCCAATCACGCACTATTTTTGCCTGTGTTGATTCTTGCACCAATCAGTGCGAGATAAACTTGCTAGAATCGAGCCCAAAACATTAACATCATCTTTGATGCCGCAAGTAAGCTTAGCCGTGGAAATAGAGTCTAATTTTGGACATCAACAAAAAAGGGGAGTCATTTGTTGTCTCGAAAGAGGGGCTTTCCAACTTCCAGAATCTCGGTGAACCAATTAGTTGATTCCTACCGCGCATCAATTCCTCCTTTCGCCCATTGGTTGTCAGTTGGGTCGTGTTTACTCCTCGCCTTAAGCAACAGATAAACTCTCGGAGCGGAAGCACGGTGGAGGTGCGCGCGTGCACACCAATACGATTTGCCCGGGCGCGCGCGGAAATGAGGCGCGAAAATCAATCCACGCGCCGCGCTGCGCCAACCAATCGCGGCGCAAGGCCATCAAACTGCATATTTATCCTCAAAATAGCAGCAGCAGTTTAAATTTGCTCTTTTTTCTCGTCTATGACCCTCTACTTTCGAGAGACAGGCCATAAGTTGGGCATTTTTCGGCAGCCCCGAATCACGAGTGTCTGAAAAGTGCGTTTTCATATTTATGCAATGTAATTAAAACAAACTAGCGGCATTAACATGGCGGTATCGACATTTGACCTCAAGGTGTGCCGAAAATGTGGGAAACCCAGGCCTTTTTGGGTAGTTTTGTCAAGTCAGCTGGTCACTTGCGAACAGAAGTGGGGCATTTTGCAATTAAAAGTCACACCGATGTCTCCACTTGTGTGGAGTCGCATTAAACCCACTTAATCTTTGCAAGAAGAGGGAAACTGGATGCAAACAGGTGTTTTGCTGGAACTCGCACGCTTCAGAAACCATAAATCATGCACCGGTGATTAGCATGTGGAACGATTCAGCCGAACCAGCACTCGTCATGTCCCTAAATACCCCATCATTTCATGAGTAAAAACGCGCGAAATTGTCCAAATTGTCCTAGATTTCGTATGTTGAGGAAAACGCGTAGTTGGAGCTTATCTGGACGAGGAATCGACAGGCAGATGGATGGAACGTGTTGGTGACAGCGACGGCGCGCTTCGGGTTGAGAATGCGCCCACCTCTCCTCACCGAATTTTCATTCCCACATGGACATCTCAAGCGATGTTAAATGCCTGGAGTTATAGGATATGTCACTACGGCACACTTAGTCAGTATGACGAAAGCCGCAATTGTAACTCTCAGTCGGATTGTTCTGCCACATTCTCGCCATATTCTCCGATCACAATCCAACATGACTAATGTTTTGGGCAAAAACCAAAAGCCATGTTAGTCTCGGGAATATGTAATGGGCAGCATAGGTAGAGTCTGCTATTAGTTAATCTGCATCCCGTCGTCAACCCAAGGCCAAATTTTGGCCAATGTAATGAATAAATTTAATAAAAACCCGCAAAAACCTACCTCCAACTCACAGACTGGATGGAAACAAAGGCACTTTTCCTAGCACAAACTAGCACCATGAGACTTTTGTAGGCATGCGAGTGCGTGTTCTTCGTCATCGGCAAAATTCCAAAGTTTTCTATCACTAAAGGGGGCCACATTGGAGCTAAACCGACCTATGTGTGGCTGATTATCTTCGGAGCTTGTTGGTCGATGTGTTTGGCTACACCACAGAGGTCTCAAGCAGTTTACCTGATATTGACCCGACCTTTGACATTTCACGCAGTCCTATTGTAGAGTGCATTTCCGGCTTAAAGGCATCGTGCATGCGCAACCACACTCCCAGAGGCTAGGAATCAGACCCGCCGGCATTGTGTCAGCGGTTTCACCTCATCCTCAAACTACGCGCGCCTGCAGCGTGCGTACGTGCGTGCGTGTGTGCGGCACGCCCACGGGGACGGCTACGCCCGAGGTGAAAAAGCCGCCGCGCCAGTGACTCACCCCTACCCCTGAATACGCGGGGCTTTCCAAAATCCGTAACATTGCCCATTGCCTTCCTCGTGTGTGTGTTGTCGAGGCAGTGGGGAGGAAAGGTGGGTGTAGGTAGGGGGTGGGGGTGGGCGCAGAAGTGCCTTGTCTCCATCCACAAGCTGGTCGGCAATCCACTACATCCAGACCACTTGAACGACCTGCTAGTTGACTTGTGCAAAATGCAGCTAGATGCTGTGCTATCCCTCGTATACAGCACTCGACAATTTCACTCGGTACCCGCCCAGTTCGTGTAGTTCCTTACCTTTTAAACATTTACTCCTTACCTCCGCTCACCATGGAATTTTATTTAATTTCAGTGTTAATCAAGGTGCCCTCGTGACGCCTAAATGAGGAATGTGCAGTTTTTAAAAACAAGATTCCCCTAAGCGACCATTTTCAGCTCATAGCAGTGTCGCTAGAGGGTGTTTCTTCGTGTGATCAACGGGAGGCGGTTGCCACACAAGCCAAGCTAACAATTTGCGTTAAAAATAACTCAGAAAAATCGAGCACAGTGCGACGAAAGAGGCGATTTTGTGGGGCTAAACTTGAATCAGCGGTCGTTGATTTGGGGACAACAGGTTTCCTGGCGTGTTCACTCAGAAAGTGCGTAATGTGGAATGTACTTTCGCGTTCAAACAACGTTGCGAAGGCAAACATGTCATTTAAACAAAAGTTGACCAAATTCGAGAGGCACCAGCGGTGATATTTCTTGCATTTTTCTTTTTTTTCCAAAACCGGCGTAAAACGTTTTTCTAAGTTAGTCTACTTTAAAAACGCGGCAAGGATTAATTTGCCACAACCCCACAAATTGCCGAAATCTTGCCAGCGTGGTAATGGGTGTGTGACTGACTCCGTAATAGTAATAAAAACAGTCTCTACACTACATGATGTATTCCGGCTACATAGAACTAGCCAAATGCAAGTCGTCTAGACTTCTGATTGGCCAAATCAATTGCGATGCAATAAAGTGCACTTACTCACACCGCATTATGCAGACACCTCTTACTTCGTGCTTCCTTCAACTTAATTTGGGCAAACTTGATGGTATTAAATGAGCAAATGCCTCAACCAATCAGCGTTATCGATAGGTCAAATTCCATTGGTAAAATTCCCACTATAATTTTAGTGAAATATCACGGCCAAGGCGGCTTCTTGCGTATTCACTGAGTACCACAATGGGCTGCGCAATTAAATTGTTGTCAATCGTGTTTATTCTTACTCATCAAAACGGTCGCGCCAGCCTCCGACACAGGGTTCCCCTTTTCGCAGCACGTCGCCAGCCGCGGGGATCCTCAACTCCCCTCTCATTCGCACGGGTATTTATCTTGGAGTATCCTCACACCTAGGTCTCGATGTCAGCGCATTTATGACTCACATATCAGTGGTATAAAAAACACACGATCAAACCCCACACACAACCACGGCTGCTTCAAGTTCTCGAATATACGGTCGACTCTCCGTCCTTCCACAGAATTCATCCTTGTTGGGTAGTTAGTGGCATATAGTGTCGCAACAGGTAACTCAAATCCCAGAGTTATCATTAATCCCCCCCTCTTTCCTTAATTCAAGGTCATCCTACAAAAATCGATAGTCAATTCAAAACTTTCACTACCACGGATCAATATGCATATTTTGTTCGCTAGCAACGAGAGTAGACGAGGAGGACGAGTGCAGTGACCAGACCCAATGAGGCCCGGAGGCTGGCGCCAATGCCCTGTCGACATTTCAGCAGGTCGTAGCGACTTGGCTGGCCGAGCATCTTCAGGTCGTACTCCTTCTCCATGGTTTCGCCGTCGAAGAACCAGGTCAGGTCGTTGAAAGGGTACTCAAAGCCCTGGCGGCACATGCACTTGTAGCTGCCACTGCGAAACTGTCGACCCGGTATGTGCTCGCACTAGAAAAGAAGAAAGACGGCTGATTGGCCACCTCCACCCTTGTGTTGTTTTACTGAGCTAGAGCGCTGCCTGAGCGGCAATTCGAAATTTCGTCACCTGGTGAGCAGTGCTCAGTCAATATAAACCACACCAATGTTCCCTTAAGGATTTTCCCCTTGGTAGATCACCACATTGAGATTGTAGATAAAATCGACAAATTGGGCTAGTTACGATGTCAGATCAGGGAGTAAATAAGTGGCGTGTAAGTAATCGACCTGGGTTAAACGTAGCGACAGGCAGTTAGCCTGCTGACAGCCAAATTGTCTTGGGGTGGCTGCTAGCTAACGGCCGCTGTCACGTGGCCTCCGACGATCTTTCTTGCACACACACACACACACACACACACAAACTCCGCACAAACGCACAGCCAAAAAAGTGGGAAAATTATGAACACATTTTTCCTAGAAAAACCGCGTGTTTCGAACACGAGGAAATGAATTTAAGCGCAGTTTAAGAAGCAAAATAAAAAAAAACTGGTAAAACCATGTTTCAGTCTACGTGGAGCTGACAAAAAGGTGTCCTCACTACTATTACGACGAGGTGTATGGGTAAGAAGCCGCAATTTTTAATGTGTAAAGTAAGAAACCAGAAAGAACAAGCTGTTTTGATGTCTAATTTGCCAAAAGTTCGGTTCCTTTTTGAGCAATTAATTAAAACAAATATCGGATCTGGTGGACTGCATGGCTGTGATCTGCTTAGAACCCCAAATCAGTTACAAGCACAGCAGAAACAATTTACTTAGCAAAACGTCTCCAAGTTGAACAGCTGATTAGTGCAAAAACATGTTAGTTTTTCGAAATCTAACTTCTGCTGGCCGATTTTCAGAGGATGATCTGAAAGGTGTTCGTGAATATCCCCCCCCCTGTGGAAATGATTTTTCCCTAACTGTTCGCGCAAACATCTTCGGGGACGAAATTCACAATTAAATTGACAAATGTGTCTCACAGATCACTTGTAAACTAAATGACGACGGTGATAACCCTCAAGGGAGGATGCTGCCGTCTCTGAGTCCACGCCGAAAAACCCACGGACTGTTTGTCGACTCACAGCAAAGGTGCTGGATTCTTGCACATTTGACGACGTGTGTGGACCACCCCGTACTCCACAGGACTTGTAGATGTACTGATGGCCTCGGTTGGCATTTTGAACCCATATTCTGGCCTTCCTACTTGCTAACATCTGCCTCGATGGCCTAGCTACTCTTGTTACTTCCTAATAACTTCCATTTCCATTTATTTTTTGAAAATCCTAATGTTATCTGTTTCCGCACATCAATTATCCACACAAAGCCTGCAGGAGATTAGCTAAACTGACCTGTTTTTATGGAATAAAAAGTCAGTTTTTTCCTGGCGTCGCTAAAGTAAATAATTTGCCTTAATCGTGACATCAAAACTGACCACTAGCGTCAAATAAATGTGCTGTTTATGGTGACAATTTTCGCATGAAAAGCGTAATTTTCTCCGAGTGTCAAAGGCGTTTTAATAAATCTCGCATTTATTAAAAATGACAACTTAGCTAAAACACGCTTAAGTGAGTGTGACTTTTTACAATGCTGACATTTAACTGCCAAAGCCAACTGTAAAACGGCAGTTTGGTTGAAGGCGCAGCCTCATTTCTTGCGCTGCGACCAACAAACCAATCGCAGTTTTATTCTGAAAAAAACCTAGATGTTGTATTTGTATTTATTTAAAATATTTTGTGTTTGCCTTAAATAAAAATTAAACGTGAGTTCGCCAAATTTAATAAATCTTAAAAAAATCCCACCAACTGAACATTGATTTTTGGAAACATTGGCCTGACCTTGAAACGGCCAATCAAGGATGACCTTGGTAATGCAGTCAAACAAACACGCTCACTGTTCAGTTTGCTGGTTTCAGACGGCTTGACGACATTTCAAAGTGGCTTTGCACAAAATTCGGTTAGGACCGAATGTCTCCATGTCTGGATGCAAAAAATGTCAGATTTGGTCATAAATGCGAATTAGGGATTGACGCCAGCTCAGCAGAACGCCAATAAACCAGCCTAGTCTAATCCCTTCGGATTTTGGCAAATTCGCCCCGCGTAAGGGCTTAATTCCGACGCTCAACATTCTGTCTTGATGGTAAAAAAAAGCGGATACATGAGGCGGTTAGTTAAGGCGTTCGAGTGAGGTCAAAACATGGTAAAAATTGTCCCTTCTTTTACATTCTGTGACTTTTTAACCGAGATTTCGATTACGGTGTGAAGCCGTCAAGTGACTGGATTTCAAATCAAGACTTCAAACAAGTAAAAACAGCAAACTCCTTTATTTGGCCAATGAACTGTGAGCATTAAGTGAGGCAGTAATTGCAACTCTCAAATGCACTTTTAAAGTGCAAAAACGTCCTCGTCCATTAAGTGTGATAATCACAACAGATTGTTTCGATTTAAACTGTCAAAAGGTGTAGGGTGTTAGCAATTGCAAAAGTCGTAAGCAATCGGATATCTCAATGATACCATGCTCCTAAATCAACAAAATCCATGATCCGATCACAAAAAAAAACATAAAATGCCCATAAGCATGAATACATTACTAGAATTTAGAGTAAAACGTGTCCACCTGCCACATTTGCTTAATCACGTCTAAAACTCCTTGTAGTCTTGCCGCATTTTCAAAGACCTGAGAAGTCAGAAAAGTTTGGGGTGGAAAAGAGGAGCAAAAGGTGGGGTATTTTGTCTTCAAAAGGCGGAAAATGGTTTATCTGTAAGAAGACAAAGCCAAGTAAATCGTTAGGTTGAATGTGTGAATTTATAATTTCGACGAAATCGGTACTATTGCTGCAACTACTGGCATAATCTTAGCACCAGAGATATCCTGACAGTGAATCAAAAGCAGGGAATTTAAACGTTAAATATTTCGCCATTATTCACTTCTTCTCTGCTTGTACTCGAATTATTGTAAATTTAGTTCAATTACTAATTGAACATACTGTTCCCACCAATCATGTGACCCTTTACCGGTGACCTTGAAGGGAACCAATAAAAAACCAATCATAGGTTGAGAGGGCTGTTGACCTTTTAGCTAATGCCGACAGTTCCTGGCATTTATCCTGACCTTGAAGTAGCCGGTCATAACTATCCTATAAATCCTCAGTCACGGTAGCCACAAACCGACTTGTAACTTGAGGGAAACACCAGTTTTAAGTATGTTGCAGCAGGAGCGAATCAGTAAACCTCCCGTTATCATGAGTCTGCATTGCAACTAAAATTTAGGCGTTTTTACAAACCTGCCCACAAATTTCTCCCATCCGCGTCAATTGATGCGCTTACAATCACACAACCAGGCCCAAATTTATTAGCGTGTGTGTGTGTGTGTATCAGTGTCATTAGAGCAGTACTCAAAATTACCTATTTGATGCGACACACCCTAACTACACTCCCACTCCACCTGTAACCAGTGGTTACGGCCAAACGCTAGCAGCAGACAAGTTAAGGCGATTGGTACTTCGCTGCGCTTACCTCTCGCATGTCATGCAGGCATTAGTAGAGGAATGCTGGAATTATTTGCCGTTGCACGGGCCGTGAAAGGCAGCAGCACAGTTTAATAAATCAGTAATAAAAATTGTTTGCTTAACATAATGAATTCTCAAGTTGCATAAAATTCATTTCGCGGTGGGAGCCACCTACAGCCCATTTTAGTAGTATTTGGGCTGGATTTCGGCGCAAAAGCCTAACTACGCAACATTTGCCCTTCCTGAAATATCGGCTTTTAAAGATAATGCCAGGATGGCAGTTATTTACAGCCACCTTCTCTGCACACAAGCTGCCTGCAAACGAACAGACCAGAAAATGTCAACGTTTAGAGGTGAATTCCGCCGGAAATTAGTTGGTCCAGAATGATAGTGAGGTCATGTGGTCGCTCGCGAGGGCACTTCACCCAATCAAAATTCATCTCAACGAATAATTAAATAAACAGTGACTTTTGCTTCTACCAAGCACGCCTTTTCGCTATTCCGCTGCCCGAATGATAGATTTTTTCCCTAGATTTAGCAACATTCTTAATGGCATTCAGCAGAGATTACAGAGCCCACTATGATCGTTCCCGCCTTAAAGTTTAACACCCGTTTAGCATGAGGAAACCATGAAATGATTTCCTCGTAACATTCGTCTTGAATGCATTTTCATCTGGCCAGTTGTAGGCACATGACAGCCTGCAATTATGCTATAAAAAATTTGCACAGACCGTCCTTTCCAGTAATGTGTACACCTGAGCAATGACCATCCACAAAATGTTCCGCCTTACTCTTTAAATCATCAAAAGGTCTGGTATTGTTTACTGATTATTCGCAGTACCACTTGAACATTTTGTTTAAATTATCCTCATTGTCATCTGGGCTCCACACTGCATCCGAGAGTTCTATTCACATAAAACCAATCCAGCATGAAATCGATTTCTATCGATTTTTCCAACTGCCCCACACTTAGGCTTAACACTTGGACTCTTGGCAATGCTCTACAGGTTGACAGTCGGAATGCACAATTTGCTTTATCCGGCATTTCATTGCTTGATGGTGGTCTTGAGAAATTTTGATTGTGTTAATGTCGGCGTTAATAATCGATAATCCAAGGAGTGTGGTGAGTTGTGGAATCACAAGACATAGGAGTTAGTTTGGCCGCTCCACTCATCGCATTTCCTCGGCATTCGTTTGTGTTTAATTTAGAACAGTCGGCTCGCGCTGAACCCTAACGATGCCAGCATCTTTTAATAAATTATTTTCCAGAAAGCGGAGTGTAGTAGTGTGTGGATTGAATAATTGATGACACGGCGACGCAGAAAACATCGAGAGGATAATCCTATGTTGCATGTACCCATGATCACTTTCCGATTAATAATTAAGACGATAAATTTGCATGCTTACGAGCGGATCACTTTTATCTGGGAAAGGACCATGTGGTGGCCAAGCTGTGCCTGATTGAGCCGAAATTACCACTCTCGGGACACTACATTAACTGTATGACAAAATATGAAGTAAATGCGGCCATTTAAAATGATTTGTTAACTTATACCGGGGAGAGCGGAGGGTTATGTGTTTTGCTGCACTAAAACCACACACTTAGTTTGCTTGTAAACAGGAAACCTCACATGATTGGGTTGTCGTGAATTTGAGACTTCGCTGACAAGCGAGATAGAGAAAAGGCTTTAAGAAGGGTTCCGTCCAAAAACTGGCTCTTGTAAACACACAAAACACACCACAATAATAGTGAGTGGCGGAGTAAATTCAAAGGTTAACAAGACGGTGATTTTGACCTAAATAGGTCTCGTTAATGGTGGTTTCGACGATAATCTGTCAATTCTACAACCCTCCTCGCTCGACATTTCACTGCTTGGCTCAGTACAGGAGGTTTTGTGTGGTGTTTTACTTGCAGCTAGCAGTCGATGATCAGTTTCAAGAAAAACAAAGAGTTTACACAAATTTTTCGCTGTTTCATCTACCAAAAAGGGAAGAATGCTGCTGAGGTTTATTAGAATAAGCATGGCATAATTTGACGCTGATTGCTTAGCAACACAACCTACTCACAAATGACTTCGAGTGTGGACGAGTGGGGCAAATGGTTCATTCAACCTCACCAATGTCCTGGTTGACCAAGTCAACCTGGTCACGACCACATCAGGGTCGAAACTGAACCAGATCATGGTCATGTCACAGAGAGAGAATGATTGCAGAGGTGAATAAAAACAGTTAGCGTACACACCACAGCAACGGCAGATCACATGAAGTGTTCTGAACGCGTTCACATGCACACCACGTGGGTTCAGAATGAAACTAGAGAAATGCACTCATCACAACAAACCACTTCTGTGACCCACACCTCACACCTAATGAAACCATCACATTGATACCAGTGATCTCTAATGTTGATGAAACATTAACTGTCCACGATAACATCAATTTATCACGGTCACGATCCAAGCGTGATGAACAGTCAAAACCACATCGAATTCGTGATTGCTTTAGAAGTGACCGTGCCGCCAACTAGGTCAAATTAAAATGACATCGTGTTGGCAGATCTGTCCAGATGTGTGTTGTTACCAGCACTCAATGAAGCAGAATTAGCAAGCCTTCGAGGAAATATGGCCATGGTTATTAAATCTCAACGAAAGCGTGCTGCAAACTAGAGTATGCTATGCCGCACGCAGTCGTTTAACCAGAGCGAAATTCCCTAAACATGGTTGCTAAGTGACGTGTTAAAACTCCAATGCAGCCCCGATCTTGCACAATCTGATTACGACTGACTTGCTAAATCGAAAAGTCCTTAACATCGCGAAGTTTCCTCAAGTAATGCTGACTCGAAATTCCACGCGGTAAAGACATTTACGGGGAATAATTAGAGATTACACGAGGGTGGATTTTTGTTACTTAATACACGTCATCTGCACATACTAAACGGATGCTGGACTGCTAGATTAAGTTTGATTTATCGCTACAACCGCGCACACGATTTTTGATGCAAAAAGTCTTCCTGGTTCAGCGATGAGGCAGTGGATATGCGTGGATGAACCCAATCTCGGTTCTGAGAGAAGCATATTGGACGCTCGTTTTGAATTAAAAAAAAAGTTTTTTTTGTTATTGCGGCAGTAGAAATCAGTACTGAATGGGTTCAACAGAAGCTCCTACTGTGGACTCACAACAAACTACCGCGGCCTTTCATCCTGCCTCGAATCCTTTGTGGGCAAGGTCTATGAACAACGAAATAGACCGAAGACAAATACATTATTTAAACCGCCGTCTGAATCCTCTTTGTTTAAATCAGCAGGACTGTATAGACAGATCCTCCTGCTAACCAGAGAATGTCGTAGTTTGGGGAACAACAGCAACCCCCGATGACTAATTGCCAGCGGCGAATGGGACACCCACAGATGAGGTGATTGCTGGGAAATGTCACGTAATTGCTGCAAATATGCCGAATAGGTACGCTTGGTTTATGCGAAGGAACACCGAAATCTAATGAAATGCTGCATTTTGATGACTTTTACGACTAGAGGATGAATCGGGTGCAAAATCGTGCCTCATCGCCATTGTTTGCCATGGTTATTAGATCAAAAAGCTCTCAAGCATTCCTTCTCGTCCGAAATGCGCGCGCGTTCATCAAGAAGGCCCCTGCACCAACTGCGCCAGAATATGCGGCTAGCAATTAGGTGCAAAAATTGCAGGGCTTTTTTTAAAAGGGACCCAATTTCCGGACAGCGGGTATAATCTCAACAAAAACCCGGGATTTGTCCGCAAAATTTGCTCACTTAAACACAACGTCTTCCGATACGTGAACAAGGCCACTTTCACGTCATTTCTAAGCACAAATGCGTTCGTGGGGGATATTTCTGCACGCAAGTATCCCCCACTACAAACATTTCATGATGGAACACACCCTCACTCCTGCCTGACGCTTGCTGTAGTCTTGATGGCATGGCCTATGAAGATCTCGTGGCTTTACTGGAATTAGCAGGGTTGCTTGCTAGTTACGTAGTTTGATTAATGAGTAATCGCATTGTCTTAAAGTGCCAACCTACGTAGTTTCTGAGGTTGCCACCAAATTTCCTCGGAGTTTTCGCTCAAAAATGAAATTTCTACCATTTAAGTTACCGGAGTCACTCAGACAGTAAAAATCAGTAGGTGATTTTTAGCTAATTTGATTTATTGTTTGGCCAAATTGAGCGAGAAATGACACCTATCAAAGCCTCCAAGAAATTAACACAAGTAAAAATCGGTATCACTTGTTTTGCGAAAAAATCGATCGAATTGTGTGTGTGATTCGCCACCTTTTTGGGGTCAATCACGAGTGTAAGACTGTTTTAGGTTACGTTTATTGCAAAAAATGCTATTTTATGATAGTTTTAGACCTCACATGGACTAATTTATGCCAATTCCAACGTAGGCTTAAGTTCAGCCTTCGTGTGCTATGAAGACAGTCTGGAAACTGCCAAATTGGTTAAGTGTGAAGGTCAAGTGGATTTTCAGAAAACTGGAAGCCTCATCGTCGCGCTTAGGTACAAACCATCCAACATTCGATATCCTTAGGCCCTGTTGTGAATCGTATTTATTCACACCCCTTAATTCACCTCCGACATGGGGTTCCCCTTTTCGCAGCATGTCGTCAGCCGCGCGGATCCTCAACTCCCCCTCATTCACACGAATATTTATCTTGGATTATCCTCACACCTAGGTCTCGATGTTAGCTCATCTATGACTCACACATCCGAGATATAAATACACACGTGCAAACCCCACACACGACACAACGACACCAACGTGGTTGAGATCTGAAGTAAACGGTTGTGTCCACGTCCTCTCCGGTCTTTTTCTTCATCGCGGGTATCAGGCAAGCGTAATCGGGCCAGGGTTAATTCCGTGGCCCTGGCGTGGTTCAAGGCCAGATGCTAGGGCTCATAACAAACTCATCCACTTCGCTTCATCGCGCTTAAATGGTATCTAACGTCCAACCGCCACGAATATGGCAGGGAAGTACTAAGCGGATTTTCTCAAAAACTCTTGCTTATTAATAGTTCAGGATGTTAGCATTCGACAAGACAACTAAATTAACACGGTGATTTGTGACGTCGATTCACTCAGCTTAGTTCACACAATTATACAACTGCACCGTCACGACACGTCGTTTTTCACACCGCCAAGTCATCCCTCAACGTAAAATGCGCAACTCACCGACCTTCGAGCGCATCTGAGCATCCACGTGACTTCCGCTTTTGGGAAATCAAAGGGGTCGAGCTAGTACACTAGTCTACAGCTTTAGAATTTATCGAAAACTAGAGACTTTTCAGGGACTTTCAACGAAAAAATTGATTTCCAATCATCCTACGATCTGCTAGTCGATGGAATAGGTCCAGAAGAGATGGAAGAGTTTACGAGGGGTACAGAGAAGCCCACCTTGAGGGTGCGGAACCACGACTGTCCGGTGTAGTTGCGATGACCCCGAACGCTCATGTCGATGGCCTCCGCGACCTGGGTCGCCATGGTCGGTTTGTAGGCGAAGGGTGCAAACAAGTCCCACGTCACGCCCTCGTGGTCAGTGAAGGCCTGGTGGTCAAAGAAGATGCCAGAGGAGACGATCTGGAAGCTGGAGAGCACGTTTGCGTAGACCTCGCCGAAGAGCTCGTAACGATTCAACGGCGCGCCCGACTAAAGGCAACGACATGGTGTTGGAACAATTGGAAGCAGACACAGACCGCGATTTTGACCTCCAGAAGCCAGATCTTGCAAAGATCTTATCAAATCCACGGATTACCTTCTGGCTGACTGTTAGTGATGTCAATATGGAATTGCAAACACCGGAATGGATTTGCTAGGTCTAAAAAGGAATCGATTCTAAGCAAGAAAGTTTAAGATTTCCTGTGTTTTGCCGCCTTGGGAGCAATTATGTGCCGTTCGGTATTCGAGTACACCATCACCCTGTCGTGTTATGACAGCTAACTTGTCAGATCCACCATCTGTGTTGAAATTACAAAGTAAGTTGTACTTTTTTGAGTGCAACGCAGTGTAATTTGGGCTGTGGAGCATCCATTTTGAGCAGCAGCAGATATGTCCAAAACTAGATGGAAACTCGGGTTGGCTTTGAGAAAATTCAGTAGTGCTAGCTTCATACCAATATCCGCATAAGTAGCTTGGCATTTGTTTGAATGCACAGATTGACCCAAATTTGAACAAACCCTATTTATTACTGAAATTTGCAATGAAATAAAGCACAATTTAATTACCGTTGAATAGCTTTGAAGCCCTGTGGGAAATGATGACAATTTGCGGTAACTTGCGCGCAAAAATTTAGCAATAACAATTGTGGTTTGGATGCATCCGGACCACACGAAACAGCCAGCAGTAACGAGCTGGAATTTTAGGCAATGATTGGCTTCGCGTATTTGACGCAAATAGGTAACTTCTCATCAGAATTTCAGTCACCGTTGAAGAGTTCTTGCGCGGTGCGAAATTCACCAGTTTCGTTACTAAAATCCTTGCAACAAATTGAGGTGGTGGAGTGGGTGGCTGCGTGTGTCTGTGCAAGTTGTCGACAAATTTCAAGGACGTTGGCGTCAAAATGAAGCACCAACTCATTTAAACAAGGGAGTTTTAATGCTGGTGACGCCAAGAAGACCAGAGACACGCACGAACACAGCGATTGTGGCATCCACTGACGGCGAGATCCTAAGGCGTCTTTAGGAACCGCGATCATAGGGACAGAGGTTGCGTACCAGCTGGAATTCTTCCTGAGCACCATGTTCTGGACTAGGACCTGGCACTCCCAACGACGCCAATGCATGTTTCCACACTCCGACTGACCAGATCAGTGCCGGAATGCACGTCGGCTTGTTGAATGGGCTCCTGAGTGAGCACTGGTTCCTTCCGACGCGTGTGATCTGATCGTCTGGCAAGACGAGGCGTTTTTTGACACCTGAGAAAATTTCTGCTTTGTTTAAGACACTATCACTATTTGAGTGGTCGTCGATCGATGCAGCCAATACCAACTTTCCATTCCTACCGATTTCGATAGCGCATAATAATGAATGGTGTGTGATTACTGTGATGAAATTGGTCGAGGTGCAACCAATCCCAACTGGCAATTGGCTGGATTTGTCGATATATCGGATTCCTTGGTTGGTGGTTGGTTGGAATGCAATGAAATGCATTCGATGGGCGTTGCACCACAAGAACCATCACAAAGTTGACATAAGCATCATCACCATCATCATCCAGGCGACGAGTGACCTGTCGTGTCTTAGTCCTCCATCAACAGATCTCGACGAAGAAATTTCGCGAAATGTCCGTAAGCATCAATTTGCAGGAGCTCATCCGAGATGTACTCAACACAACTTTTTCCGTCTGTGTTGAAAGTTTAAAATGAGTCGCAGAAAAACCACTTACGGCATAAATTCAAGACAGCCAGTAAAATTTGACACGTTAGCCGTCAAAACATGACAGGGCAGGGAATAAACTCAAATGCAATGTTTGCGATGTTTCTGCAGCTGAAATTCCCACTGAACTGAAGCGTCACGTTGAAAATTGTGACGCCTTCGTTTAAAATCGCCTTGCTTTCTTGTGAGCCAATCGTTAGTGGGACACCTCGTTTATTTTTAAGATATAACACACAAGTTTGCATAAAGCTCAAAACTGATTGATTTTTCCCAAATAATCGATTTCAATGCTTATTTTATCTCAAAAAACCTTAGTGAAGGATCACTACTTATCCAAAATGGCTATTTGTTTACATTAACTCCGAATCGCGTAACGCGTGCAAGGTCGCCTCAGACTGTGTTGACACAATGGGATCGAATTGGGATGTATCAGCAAATTTGTTTTACGTAGAAAAATAAAGAACAATGAACCTAATCTTGGAAATATGGTCCGTCGTTTTCCATGATCTTGCGCCATCTCTCAGGTAACGTACGAATGCCGTCGCGATGGAAACTTGCTGGCTTCGAGGCGGTAAAGTCGTCATCGACAACGAATTCACGCACACCGTCCAGCGCTTTGAGCAGTTTATTCACTAAGGCGTGCTGCTGCTGCTGCATTGACCGCAACAAGTGGTGGTGGGATGGGGTCAAGTCCGGTGAATATGCCCCGCGTGTGGACTAATTTCCCATCCCAACTTCAAGAAGGTCTTCTAAGTCGTGCGAGCGGCGTGAAGTGGTTCAGCATTGTCATGCAGCAGCCGCAGCAGTATGAATTGCCTGTTTCCCAGACCAGTAAATTCCTGTTTTTGAACGAATTCTTCACTCAGTTTGTTCAATTGTCGGTTGGAGCGTTGCACAGTCACTGTCTGCGGACCAGTTTCCAGGAGTTTGTAATCAAGTATATAGGAGAACCTTCTTTAAGTGGATGTCCTGTTTCGATGTTGATGTAGTAGGTTTCCTGTGATCTATCCACGACTTTTCCATTGTGGGATTCTCGTAACAGAAATACACTTTTCATCACCTGTCACAATTTTCCACAAGAAGCCCTTTGTTGCTGTCGACGAGCAAGCAGTGAAAGGAGTGTGTTTACACGATGACCCAGGTGATAGTGTTCGGTCAACACATGTGGGGGAACCCAACTGGCAACTTTTGGAATTGTTCCCATTTGGTGCAAATGCCTGGAAGTAGCTGCTCATGGTCTCTAACAACTGAACTGCTGGCTCTTGTTGTGTTTGTGTTGAGTCTTCATCCAGTAGAGCTTGCGACTCCGCATCTTCAAACC